TTTCTATCCTCACTGCAGCCTTTCAATACTTGAAGAACATGGGTAAGATGAGGACAGACACTTTTAGCAAGGCCTGTTCTGACAGGACAAGAGGTGATGGGTCCTAAACTCAAAAGACAATAGATTTAGACTAGAAAAAAGAAGACCTGACCTTTTTTTTTTTTTTTTTCCAATGAGAATAATCCAGTGAGTGGATTGACAGCTGGAGGAAAGGCTGCTCTATTTTTACTTTATTCAGCCTTGTGCAACATCCAAATGACTTTCTTAGTTTGTCTTACACCAAAGATCACATACAGGTTCCCTGGGCTGGTAAATGAACTCAAACCCCAAATTTCGCTCCACTAATCTAACAATAATCCATCCTTCTCACTCCTTACAGCTACGCTTCTAAGGAATCATCACTGTCAGGAGAAAATGAGACTTTAGGAGCAAAACACAGCCATCAGATCAGATCCTGAAGGGATCTTAACTTACATTTGTTCTCTCATGCTGGATAACATATTTACAGTATTCCTCATTTTCAGCTCTTTAACTTCAGCTAAGATATTCAGCCCAGTGTACTTCCTTGTCAAGGCACCATCAGTCAAACCCAAGCACATAATTTTATCTCTTGGTTACTAAATTCAAGCCACTTTAAACATCCTGCTTTCATCTTTATAGTTCTCTCCCACTTTTTAACCATGCTGCAGTTACAGAAGAACGTACTTGACATATAAAACGTGCACGATATTTCTTTAACATTTTAATGCCGTGTATTGCGTTGTAAACATCTCTTCATGTTTTATCTCCTTCTCCATAAATCAGAGGTGACTATCTTAGAAGTCTCAAAAATGACATGTTTTCTCTCTAATATAAATGTAAACCTCTACTCCTTGAATCTTGAGTGAGCTTTCAAAAATCATCAAAAAAGAGAGCTATGAAAAAGCAAAATATTATTAACTAACTTAATATAAATTTCTCCCACTCCATTTCTATGACAGCCTGAAGTATGGCAAAAAAAAGAAGATACAAAATTAGTCTTCACTACTCAGAAAGCCAAGGCTTTACTTAATTTATTTGTAACTTATAAGCAACAACACTAAAGCATTTGTTTGATTCAAGATTAATATGCAGTGTTTACAAGATGAAACCCCAGAATATAATTCCATTTTCTTACCATAACTGCAACTAATAAGACTGATTCCTTATGAGATTTTCTGGAGATTTTGGCTAGCTTGGTAATGTTACAGACACAATGTATCTCAATCCGCTCCTCGGTAAATACATTAAGTGATTTTTTTTAAATCAAAACCTACTGTAAAATAACGGTTATTTTTAAAAGACAGATTACCAATAAAGAACCCCTGTCTGAAATAATTTTAAGTTACTTCCATGATGAAAAAAATAAAGAATGCTGTTAGAAAGAGAGGGAAAAAAAGACGAAAGCCGTTTTAGCAGGTGGGACTGAGAAGTGGTGACATGTTGTAGTACAGCTCCAAAGGGCCGGAGGACATAACGTAGTGTTGGATGATGTGCAGGAGAACCAGGGAGCACCGGCGCTGGGAGCCACTGCAGTGCTGGATTAGGTGTGAGCTACAGCTCTGAAGTATTGTGATAGGAAGGAGTGAGGCAGAGGCAGAGACACCGGTGGAGGACAAGAGAAATAAAGCACCATCTGTTCTCTGGCACCTTCCCATAGGAGATTCCTCCCTCACAGCCCACAGACCCAACACACTCCAAGGGAAAACCCAAGGACCCTCTGATATTTATCCAGATCCACAGAATTCATAGCATTTTCCACCAGCCTGAGTCTGTTTCTCTACTGTTTCTCTTCTGTTTGTCACAAATTATACCAAGATACTTTTCTTGACATTTTCTAAACAAATGTCTCTAGAATGACCTTGCTGTACTGCAGGCACATCTCCCTTTTTTTTTTTTGTCTGTATTTTCCAATACAACTTTTTCACTCTCAAGTCACAAAACAATAAATCACAAGCTCCTTAAAAATCATTGTCCAATTTCACAGAATCACCATCAAAATGCATTCTTTCTATTTTTCTTGGAAAGCAACGCCACAATTTAGAATTTGTGAATTGTGAAACTTTTTTCTAAACACATAGCTGGATAAATATTCAGACTGTCTTTCTATAAACAATGAAAAGCTACGAAGTTGTTGATCTGCACCGTCAATCTGTTTTTTCTTGTTAAAAAAAGTGGAAGTGGGGCAAGGATCCCCACTTAAGCACAGTTTTGCAAGTTTCTGGCTCTTGCAGGCAGGAAAACATAATTTTAAAGTACGGCATTCAACCATCTGAAAACAAGGAGGAAGTGATAATTAGAAGATTGTTTCAGACCAACTTTGTAAAGAAATAAAACACAATGTTTTGTGTCTGTGTATTACTTAGCACAGGCCTGGCTCCAACGCCAGGACTTAAGTCAACTTAGGTAATTCAGCTTAATTCACTGGGGGTAAAACTGTCTCAGCTCCTACGAGATTGTTAAAATCAAGTAGTTGAGGGGAAAAAAAAAAAAAAAAAGGAAAACTCCCTCAAACTTCAGAACCTGACCACTTACAAGTTTCTATCAATACTTCTATGAATTTTACAGAATCTTCAGTACATTGTCACGGGACAAGGCCCCTTATATCCTGTCCTAAATCACAGGGAAGAATTTCACACAATTCACACTTCACCTTCCCACGACACAGAAGGGGACTGTAAATTGTGCACATAGATTTATCAGGGAAATGAGGAGTGGGAAGGATGAGTTGCCCTTAAAGATGTACAGATTTATAGCAATTTGGGAAGCGGAAAGACGGTTATCATATAAAAAGGTCCCTAAGGGACAGAGAGGAGCAACAGGGGAAACATGAGTCATGAGCTGCCAGAGAAGTAGATGCGTATGGGGAGCAATGGACAGAGCAAAGTAGCAATAAAGGAAGTTCCAAGTCAAATGTGCTCCTTCCCAACGGTCAAGATGGATTACCCAAGCTTTAAGCATTTACGGAAAATTAAATTCCCAGCCAGCTCAGACACAGTAACACCGGGAAAAAGACACTCAACGACTGAAAGGATCCATTGATAAACAACAGATCACCAAGCACAGCTTTTTCCTTTTGCTTCCTTACCAACTCTGCTCCTTTTTTTTTTTGTAGGAGTAATCTGCCTTCAAGGTCTCTCTACACAGGAAAGTGGGTCAATATGAGTGAGTGTGAAAATTTAAAATGTTCAGCTGAAATTGTGAAAGGCAGTTTGATACACCGTGAGGCTGGAGTAACTTGCAGTGAGTAAAGAGTGAATTACAAGACCCAGTACAAAGTTATTGCACTCCTCTCAACTCCTCTTAAGATCCTCTTAACTTCCCTTTACTATCCCAAGTGTCCAGTTCCAAATTACAGCACAGAATTCCTGTACTTCTGAATACTTCAAGAGTTTAAGAAATGGCTTCTAAGAGTTTAAAAAGTGCCTGCTTTTAGGACAAAATACAATGAGCAATACATGGAAGCTGAAGACAAAGAAAATCAGTTACTTGTGTGGGAATGTCACCTCTCAGAAGATCTAGCAAAACCTCAAGACAAGTTGCACAGGAGTCTCTAGATAAGCCATCATCAACTCTCTTCATCCAGTAGTATCCACATCAAAAGTGAAGGCACATATGACAGTAAATATTTCAAAGGATAACCCATAAATTTATTTTTTCATATTAAAAAGGTAGTAAAGGAAAAAAGGGAGGAAAAAAGGGTACATCCAAAAATTGCATCAAAACCCAGCAAAACCTCACCTTAGTTATGACAGCCTTTCTTCCCAGCCTTTGTGTGAAAAATATGTAGATAACTAAATGCATTCTTCATAAAATAGCGTGACTTATTTAAAATTATTTTTCAAGGATATTTATGCGTTTCCAAGTTAGGCAAGCTACATAAACATTTCCAAGCAATTAAACACCATGCCTCGTCCTTCCCATTTTGCAGAGAAAACAGAGTTAGCTGCCTGCTCCAGTTTTAAGCTCAGTGAAAGAAACACTAAAACCTGTAAAAACAGTAAATAGGACTTACTCCAGGCTGAGCAAAATGTGTGCTGATGGGTGCAATCCTGAAAAACACACCACATGCCTACAACTGAGGTGTTACAAGGTGTAAACATCAAAGAGCCCAACTCAGCCAAGTTGACTCCAGAGCGTGGATCCCAGGAAACCTCCATTATTGGAGTTCCAGGAGTCACAAGTGGTTGCTGAAACCATGAAGTGCTGTCAATAGTGGCACCGGGCTGCTCCTTCTTTTTCCAGGCCACATTTACAACTGAAAGCGACCATCGCTACTACACTTTGAAACACCATTCAGCACCACAAGTTTTACAACCTGTTCACTAGTTAGGCTTTCCCTTTGGGAGAGCCCAAGAGCCACTGTGCTTCACAACTGAGCGCAGGAGAGCCAACATCAGCATCAAGCTCCACAGGCCTGTTGACACACACAGGGAAGCTCAAGTTCAGGCACTTGGAACATCTCTGGCATGGGACAACTTCCACAAAATGGAGGTTCTCGGTTCATTTTGCAGATGTGCCGGAGATACCATGATCCCAGCCTGGACAAAATCCCACTGAAGTCCCACTATGGATGTTTTAAGTGGATCTGAGCCACTCTTAAGACAGATCCAATAAGGTCATTCAGTAACACAACTGAAGAATCTAGCCCATAAGCCTGGAGCCCTACTGGCTATTCTTACACTCCAATTACCCAGTTCTTCCTGTCATTTCCAGGGACCCAGGCTTGGGTATTACCAAGATAAACAGTATTATTGGGAGGCTTAAAACCTCATCAACTCCATTCTATATTAACAAACTGGGCCTAGCAACCCCACTTGAATTCTCAGGCATATATTACTTTTGTGGTGTCAGTTTTAGCAGCTCAGAGCTCAGGCAGCAGCTGAAGGCACAGCACTCCCGGCCATGCAGTCACACTCGTGGCAGCGTTCCAGAAGCCAGGATGACACCGGTTTGCTGTACACATGAAGAGATGGACTGACCTGATTGATGGAGTTGGCAGCACAGGATGCCAGGCCAGTTCCAAGGGAGGCGAGCAGGAAACAGGTGAGCTCAAAAGGGACTGGGGCCATGGCAAAGCCAGTGGACGCAGTGCTGACAACCAGAGCTGCAACGCAAGTGAGAGCACAGTTCAAAGCATCAACAAGAAACCATCTTTGTACATAACACTAGAGTTATGGCTTTCAAACCCTGAAAAAACTCTTGGGCAGATTAACTTTTTGCTATCTTTATGGTTCACACTAGCTCCAGGAACTGGATACAATTAATACAAACACTACACATAAAGAAATCAAAAATGAGAACTGCCAGAAATGAAATAAGAAACCCAAAAGCAGCAGCACATTAGCAGAAGATGTAAGGATACAACTTGTGTCTCTGTATTCCCTATTTTATGGATTTCCTACGGGACCAAATTGCCCAACACAACATGCACAGGACAGATATTTGTTCCAGTAACTCACACATCACTGCAAAGTCTAATGCAGAAGAAAAAAGAGTAAAAAAAAAATCCCACACTGAGATACATGCTTTATATCAAATTATAGCAGGAATTTAAGCAGTGCAGAGTCAAAAAGATATTTGGGGCATGTAGCTGCAGGAATTTCACTGCACAATCTCTGTTTCCACTGCTTCTATTTGACACGCCGATTTTGGGCTGAAAGAACAATTATATCATCGCAGAGACACAACAACACTTAATGGCCTCAAAATTTGAGTGGGTTCATAAAAAATCAATTTCAGTTTCATCATGCAAAATTGTAACTTTAGTACAGTACTGCAAATCACATCCTTAAAATAAAAATTACCCAAGTTTTAATCCCAGTATTGTAATTAGCCAAATAATAGGTCTCAAAAGCCTAACTGTTGGCAAGAAATAGTATGATATGACAAATACTTTGAAAGTCAGCACACTTATGGTACATCTCGCTCATAACCTTGAACCTTACAATCTGAAATTATTAATTGTTAAACAGAAGGTATTTAAAGTATGTTCTGATGTAGTTACATGCTTCAGAACTCAGCTACTTTAAATCAAAGTATCGAAATTTTCTTATCTTCCTGATTTCTATGAAGTCTCCTTTTTGTCTGAAGTTAAATGACAAATAAATAATCTTGCTGACTGAAAATACCCGGATTATCTACTAAGCAGCACTACTTGGGATGAAATACTAAATGTCACGGCAGAGACCTGCCAGTAAGGATGCACATGAAAAGTGCTCTTTTCAAGAACTGGGCCCACCTAAGAACCTTAGGATTTACACAATAGACAAAACTTGCTGCTCATCAAAACTTTTCTCTAAGTATTAAAGTCCACTGATGGCTGAATATTATAATAATAATATGCATAACATAACAAGTATTAACTATATAGCCTTGTTACGGATTCACAGGCTACTTCTACAATACAGTGGATCTATGACAAAACTTCACCCTTCTGAGCAGCTCTGAAAGAATCACAGATTCTGCTACCTCACCAGACAAATGAACATGAAGGTACTAATCATTCTGAAAGACTAGATCTTATTTATTATATAATTACAACACTATGTTAGTTTCCAAACTCTTGAATCCTCCTTAGGAATGCACAAAAAAAAACATGTAATGCATTGGTACAACTGAGAAAGTTCAAAAAATGCACTGAAAATGACAGTGAACCGTAGCATTTGCATTTCCAAGAGTGATTACATTCATTTTTTTTTGCATAATAAATCACACGCTCGCTTCTAGACAAGAATTTAATTAAAACTTATCTTAGAGAGCACTTTACACCAATTTATTAGGGGAAAACACCAACTCATTTACTGGAGAAGAAAGATGGAATGGATTGGCAAACAGTCAGTGTAACATTACCACTACCCTGACCCCAAAGAAATTCTAACACTGTACAGTTACAACACTAATTAAAGTCCCCATTGATTTCTCTAGATTAATTTTAGCCAGTCATTTGAGCATGACTTATCAGGATCTCATTTAAAAAGGCTGCAGTACATCCTCTCCCTAAAGCAAGTACTTTTTCTTGTTTGGGCAGGGTTTGCACACCAGGCATCCCCTGCTTTCCTCATCGCCCAGATATTCCAATACAGCACATTAGCAGTAAATAGGAAAATGCTCCCTTTGGATTGGAAAGTTTATTTTCTTTAACTGTGGAAGCAATAATTTACTCTTCAACTTCCCTCATGGAGGAAAAGTGTATTTAATTGAGATCACATCAAGGGAATGAGGTCACTGACTCTGTTTGTTTTTTAATTCCTGTTAGTTTAGTGCATTAGGGGCCAAATTAACTTCACCTTATTGCATAATAGATGGAATCGATCCTTTCAAGACTTGCTGATGGGAGCTGGCATTATACACGCTCTTCAAAAAGAAGCCAAGATTTAAACTTATGATCTCAGCCTAAACCCTATTTTCAGTCTTTTAAACATTTTTTGCTTTAACAAAAAATTAACAGAGGACATTTGTCTCCCACATCAATGTAGATGAAAAAGAAAATGCTAATGGATTGGTGACAAAGAGTGAATTATAATGTTTCTGGCATAAAAACACAGTCCAAAAGTTTAGTGTGTTCTTTACATTCCTTTTCCACTTCATCACAATGTGCTCTGCCTATAGAAATCTTTCGTATTTATAGCATGTGAATCATTATGCCATATTTTGTTTACCTACTATTAAAAAGTAGCCAAGCCAAAATAAAAGCAGAGAAAGCCAAAGCAAATCAATCTTGCTCTGGAATTCCCTTCTACTCCTGTACTGGTGATATATCAGTACATAAAGAAGGAGAAAAGCAAATGCATTTTTACTTTTTTTTCAACAAACAATGTCACTGCTTTACCGCAAAAGTTTCTATAGCCCTTAAAAGAAAGTTGCTTCCCAAAAGCTGAAGAAATACTCCTTCCTTAGTTTTCACACTTCAGTTTGTAGAAAGCCAACTGTAGCAGCAGTATTTAGAGATCCCCATCTAACCAACAAGTCCTTTGTAAACCCAGGTTTGTTTGGGAACATCAAAGTGTTGATACAGATTATAACCTGCACATTAATAAAGGCCACACTCCTGAAGCAAACTTAAACTTGGGAAAATCATTTGAAACAAATCTGCATCAAATCATGCAAAATTCAAGTGCAATATTACAAACAGAACAGATAACCTCTTACCATCAAACAATTTTAAAATACTTTGCTAAAAATGAACTACAGTAATGGTTTCTTTTTATTTCATTTGCTTTTCTTGTAGCATGGAAAACCAATTGCCAGAATGCTTTAGTTTCTTTGATGGGATAATAGTTACTGGTTTAATAATCACAAAAGAACTACTTTGACAAGTATATTAAATATATTTAGAACTGTTAATAAAGGTAAACTGGCAATAATCAGAACAGTAACAACCAATAAATATTTTTCAAAGTTTCCGGCCATACTGAAGTTTTCATTTAAAGAATAAATGCTATTATTCCAGAATTAACTTGGAACATAGAAGACCTCCACTAAAGTAAATGCAATTTTTTACTATAGCAGCTATTACCAGACCTTCAGCCTACAAACACAACACAGACCCCTTATGTAGTCATTGTTGCAGTTTGGTAAGCGTCAAGAGTCAGTCTGCAAAACCGGATCTTCATCATCCTGTCACCAATACACAACAGACAAGAGAGAAATAGGATGTTCACAATCACACCTTTAATCAGTACCAAATATCTCAGGCTTCTGGTTTCAGGTTCAGCACATTTGTGCTAGAGGATCACTATTCCACAGACAGAAATCCATACAGAAGCAATACATCCAATACTGTTTGCTAGTATGCACAACAGAATTATTTTCTTATAACAACATGTATGAAAAAAATTTCTAGTTTTGTCTTCAAAACTGAAAATGCTCAGAAATCAGCATATTTGTCTGCACACGTTGATTCACCTGTCAGACAGGTGCTATGTAATCAGATTCAAGTAGGTTGGAAAAGACCTCCAAGATCATCAAGTCCAGGCTTTGCCTGATCACCACCCTGCCAACTGCACTAAAGCACTGAGCACCATGATCAGTCTTTTCTCAAAGACACAAGGTGCTGTACGTCACAGAATCATGGAATCACTGAATGGTTTGGGTTGCAAGGGATCTTGAACATCATCTATTTCCAACCCCTATGGGGCAAGGGGGGTGGAATCTATCCCAGGCTGCTCCAAGCCCCATCAAACCTGGCCTTGAACACTTCCAGGGATGGAACAGCCTGTTCCAGTTTAGCTGCTTGTCCTCACAGAAAGACCAACATGCTACAGGAGCAACAACAAGGAAATGTCCACAAATCCTAGAGCGTTATCTAAGGGAATACTCATCATTTTTCATATCATGCTTTCCTCAGTTTGCCCAAACTAAAAGCTGAACTTTGATTTTCCTGTGGTTTTACATATAGTTCATCTGAGTTTTCATCTGTAATCCTTGGAGGAAACATTACTTAAATCTAAACTTGAAGTTAAATTTAAGAAGACAAGACAACCTGAAATTCCTAGTGTGTGCATGCATTACAAATCGCTGGAATTTCCTTATTCTCATACCTTCCCTTGTCTCTCTCCTATTTTCAGTTACACAGCAGCTTTAGGATCAAGTTGAAAACAATGCATTTATAATTCTGAAAATCTATCAGACAGACACATTAGCTTTCCAAGCGCCTGGGTGGTAGGATACAGCTGTTCAGAGAGCAGCCAACATAAAACACCACAGAGATGGGAATGGATGAAAACTGAACCCAAAAAGGTAGATTATGTGACATTTAATGAAAAGTTCCCTAATTGTTTTCTATGGCAAAAGAATATAAACAAAAATCTATTCCTGTTTTTAAGGCAGAGCTTCTAACGGCAGAGTCACAAAAGCTGCAGTTTACATGAAGCATGGAAATAGCAAAGCTCATTTCCTTTCCAAGGTGAAGTACAGTTCATACTACAAACAAAAAATCTCTTTCCAGCAGCAACAGGAAAAGAACAGAGCATAAGGAAGTCCCATTTTGGCATCATGCAGAGTTTGTTTTTTTGTTATTTCATACTCTAAAAAGTATAAATAAAGTGTCTGCCAAAAAAACCACACAGGATATGAGATCTATCACAACTTCACGGGTGAAAGGAACTGAGTTGTATGACATTTGCAACTTAAAAACTGACCTCAGAGAATATATTCTTCTTTAAAAAAAAAAATCAAAGAACTACAACACCAGAGTCTTGACAGAATATATCATTTGTCTAAATGATTACACAAGTGGTTAAAAATTTTCCTTGCTCTACATGTTACACACAGTCTTATTTCTGCTTATGTCCTATCCTATCCCATGACCAATAAAGAACAATAGAACTCTCCTTCTACAAAATCATCTTCATCCAACTTACTCTTTTACACTTTCCACTTACAAAAAAATCTGCACACCAAACACATAAAGATCACAACGAGAAAAGAGGGTAAGTTTTTCCCTGTATCTCTCTATACCTTCTCAATAGATGAAGTTTACTACATTTACCTAGGATCAAGAATTGCTCCAAGCACGTGAGAAGACAGAGATAGACTAAAATCACAGTCCCTTTCCCAACAGGCATGCAAGCTTGATTAAAAATTGTACAGCTGTTCAGAAATTAGCAGTCAAGCTTACACTTCAAAAGGCACTGTCATAAAAAACAACAGTCCTGAAGGGAATTAAATTCCTTAACCTTTGCCTTCTATACCCTGTTTTAAATCTAGAGTGGTGCTTGCCTAGTTAAAAGAGGCTACCAGGAACTGTTGAAGAGTTTTGCAGCAACTCTGAGGCCACACAGAAATGTATCTCATGAAATTGTTTTCTCTTGAAAATGACCCTCTCCCATCTTGCTGAAGTTGTTGAAACTCCCATTTCATGAAGCACCAGTAACACTGAGATGTGGTACAAGCACTGAGCTTACCCATCAGCAAACATATAAAAAAAACCTCAAGTGCTTTCAACAATGGTCAATTTTCTTTCTCTCTGGTCCCTTAATCAGCACAAAATAAATGACCTAAGGCTTTCTAAAAACAATGAGGAAAAAAATTAGGATGTGCAAACAAGATCAGTTGTGCCAAGTCCAAAACACAAGATTTATCAGGAACACAGATGAAAATGTAAATTACCATTACACACTCTATGTGGTCAGCAAGATTTTTCCACAGAAAAACAAACAATGAAAACTCATACACTGCAAGACAAAAAAGTTTTTAAAAGTAAACTGAATTCAGGACATTCATTATAACAAATTTTTAGGGCAAAGAACAGTCTTGTTATGAGGAATTCACTTGACCGACTGGAGAGCGCCCAGGCAAGGACTTAGGAAATTACATTTCTGTTCTTGGACTTTATATCACAGACAAGATGTAAGGCTTTGGTCAGATAATTAGAGCCTCCTTAGAAATAAAAGTATACACAGCACTACCTATTGGCAAAAGGGTAATTTATAATTGTTCCTATTGGCAAAGGAGTTACATAAAGTCGTTAAGTATTATTTCTTGAATGAGACAAAATGTAGTTAAGGCTGCAAGGCAATTGCTTAACAAATTGCAGGTTTGAAAAGACAACACTATCAATGACTGAAAAGTAAATCAGATCTTCTTTTACAAAATTCAATCAGTCAGATTCAAACATTTTCCTTTCTAATACAGGAAACTGCTTGGATTATCTTACCTTGGGACTTCTAGTGCTAATTTCACAACCAGCAGTACTATAGTGCAAGGTATGTAAATAAGACAAAACACTGGAAAATTTAAGCAAGACAACCTCAAATACTGAACACATTATTTGTAAATTCACTTCCTTACCCAGTTTCACCGTAGTCTGTCTACTAACACTTGCTTACTTCCCAGAAACTAGCTGACTCTCATTCTTTTTAAACAAAATTAATGGGACAACTATTAAATGCTTCCATAAAACAATTTTCCTAGCACATACTTGATTGAAATTGATCCGACTTAGCATCTATAAAGTGGGAATTATCACATGCAAAACTAAACCATACCAGTAACATCCCAAAGAATTCTGCTTCAAGCAGAATGCAGAGAAATTAGAAAAAAATTACCAGTAATACCTGTAAGCTTGATTTTGGACAAGCGTGCCAAAATTCCTGGCAAATCATCCAGCCGTAGCTTCATTTCTTTCCATTGTCTGTCTTCCTTGGATTCAGCTCCCCCTGGTACGACTGAGTCTTCAGTTTCTGCAGCTGATTTGATTTTTCTCAACTCATTTCTGCTTGACATCTCAGACCATGACTGAGGAACAGGTGAAGCTGAGCTAATTTTGTGTACAACCTTTTTTTCCTGATCCAACTGCTGAAGCTCATGAAAAGGAGACACAATTGAATCGGACTTGGGCTTGGCTCGTTGACTGAGGTCTTTGTTGCACTGTGTTACATACTAAATACAATGAGAAATGTTAAAACAAATAGATAAAGATATTTCTGTCCATTTCACTTTATTAACACCAAGAATATTACTACTGTTTTATTCTTGTTACGAGAATTACTTCTATGACACAACTGAGTTAGTCTGAATTTCAGACACTTATTTCACACACAGAAAGACTTCTGAAGTTGGCTTATTATTACAAAAGCAGCTTTACAACTCACAGCTGAATCAATGTTTATGTAAGCTTGGAAAATTGCATTTGAATGTTTACTTCTCCCCCAACAGCTACAACAGTAAACTCTTTGTTCATATTCAAAACCACTACGTAACCCAATGTAACTTACAACTGATCAATTTCACAGAATAATAAAGGTTGGAATGACCTCCAAGGTCATTGAGCCCAACCTTTGACCAAACAAAATTCACCTTTAAACAGGGAAATATACAAATGCCCCCCCAACTTCAGTTTCCAAACATAAGTACTAAACTTATGCATATTTAATAAACGAAAAAATTAAAAATATTCCAAAAAAGACAATTTACCACCTATGATATGAAATCATCTCCCATATTAGTCTATTATTCTTTATGCCAAACTTTTTGTTAATTAATTAGACAACAAATTTCAAAGGAAAATATATTGAACAATAAATTAGAATAGAGTTGTTTGCTCTTTTAGAGCTCACAGAATAAACACAGAATAAGAAAAAGAGCATTTAAATTCTCTTCTCATATTTTCTTCCCCCAAATACTCTACCTATTTCAAGCACCAGAAGCATAGAAATAAAGAACTTTCAACCAATCCTGATTTCAAGTGTACAGTAGCAATTACAATGAGGAAGAGTGGTCTGCAACTCTGAATGAGCAATGTGAATACACTTCAAACCAGCAGCACAATTTTAAAAAATTGCTACCATCCACCACCATATGATACAACTGGTCAAAGATGATGTAATTTCAAGGGGCTTAATGATAATTACAGCTTATTTAATACCTAAAACTAACAGCACACTGTAAATGTAACCCATTAACTTAATGAGCTCAGGAATTTTGACTCAAATAAACCAATGAACTGAGAACACACCACCTCCACAAGTGAGTTCCATCTACTACTTGTATGACTGCTAGCCAAGATGTGACTTTATTATAAAAAGTGACTTTTTTATAAAGAATCATTTAAAAATAATTTTTTGTCAAGTTTCTCAACAGAAGGCGAGTGCCCTATTTCAAGGGTACAGAAGCCTCCTGTCAAGCAGGGGACACTTTGCAACACAAGGCACTGTCCTTGCTACAAAAGGTTTCCTCCAGCCTGAGACGTTTTAGGACACCAAGTGCTTTGACTGTGATTTAGTGAAAAATGGAGATGCTTAAATTAGCTGAGTTTGGCTGATAAGAAAAATTACTCTTATCAACTAATCTCCATTTTGACTTATCACATGGGATGAATGAAAATTAGGGGATAGATACACTCCTTGACTTACCATTCGTTTGAGAAAGTTGCAGTACTGAAAGGTAATCAACTTGCTGCTGGCCACATGGTAAAGGTGCACAAACCGGCACGGCATCTGCCGTGCACCAGTGCTCCTCAGACGCCACACAAATAATCCTGCTTAACGGAAAACAAACCAAAAAGTAACAACAGGTTCCAGTTTCTTGTCTGCCACTGAGCTTGCTTCTAATTGAGACTACAGTGCCTATTGTCAGCTGCGACACAGGACACCCACAGAAACGGAAACCAGGGTCAGATAATGGAAAATGTTTGTTTCTCCAGGTGAAAGCCATGACGCTGCAAAATCATGGAGTCATTAAAGATGGAAAATACCTTGAAGATCAAATCTCAGTATTAACCCAGTACAGCCAGGTCCACTACTGAACCATGTCCCCAAGTATTACATCCACGTGGCTTTTTAAACCTGACAGGGATGGTAACTCTATCACTGCCCTGGGCAGCTTGTGCCAGTGCCTGACCACCCATTCACAGAGGAAATTTTGCCTAATATCCAACAGAAACTTCCCCTAGCCCAACTTGTGTCTGCTTCCTCTTATCCTGTCCCTTGCTTCCTAGGAGAAGAGCTCAATCTCCACCTACCTGCACCCTCCTGCTAAGGAATTGTGGAGAATGGGAAGTTCCCCTGAGCCTCCTTTTCTTCAAGCTGAGGCCCCCCAGCCTCCTCAGCTGCTTCTGGCACTCCAGACCCTTCCCGAGCTCCGTTCTCTTCCCTAGACACATTCCAACCCCCCCTTTTCTTTCTTATTCCAAGGGGCCCAAAACTACACTGTAGGGAAGTCCCAATAATTTTGGGCGTTTCTTATAAATTCCCGAGCATCAGTAAGACGTATTTTCACAGAATATCCTGAGCTGGAAAAGACTCACAAGGATCATCGAATTCAATTCCTGGCCCTTCACAGGACACCCCAACAATCCCACCCTGACCTGGAAAGGGTTGTCGAAACGCTGCTTGAGCTCAGGCAGCCTTGGTGATGGAGCATCATACAAAATAGTATTGCCCCACTACTATATACACGATCGACAAGATTATCTTGGAGAGGAAGCAGCTGCCATAGGAGAGCCCTAAAGTCAAACACGTGTGGAGGACACACAGCGCAGTGTGGCACACGGGGACGCCCCGCACACGGGGACGCCCCGCACACGGGGACGCCCCGCACACGGGGACACGCACACGCATAGCCTTGCAGGCCCCGGGGACCGCTCCACAGAGCAGCCCCGGGCCGCCCCGGCCCTGCCCGCACACCGGCCCTCTCGCCCTACGGCTCCGCGGTACCTGCGAGCGCCCGGGGCGGGCGGCAGCTGCGGGCGGCGCTCATGGCCGCGGCTGCTGCGCCGCTCTCCTCTCACCGCCTGGGCGCCGCCATCTTGCCGGCGCGACCTCCAAACGCTTTCCGGGTCGGCGCTGCCGCGGAGGCGGAGCGGCCATGCCGGGGCTGTCCCGACCGGGGGGCGGTCGTGTCCGCGCCGTCCTGGAGCCTTGGGCGGCTCGCCGACGGGGCTGGCCGTGCCCCGAGGGAGTGGGTTTTTTTAATACCGAAGTTTGAAATTCCCCAGGCCAATATATAAAAGCGGCGTGGAAGGAGTCAAAAGGCTTTTCTCTACCAGTACGAAATAAACGACCTAAAATAACAGAATCACAGAATCGTTTGTGTTGGAAGGGACCTCTGGAGATCACCCTGCCCAATGCCCCCTGCCCAGGCAGGGTCACCAGAGCAGGGGACACAGAAACACATCCAGGTGGCACTGGAATGTCTCCAAACAGGGAGACTCCACGCCCTCCCTGGGCAGCTGTGCTGGGGCTCTGCCACCCTCCGTGGGAAGAAGTTCTTCATGTTGAGGTGGAATTAAATATGTTCTGGTCCATGGCTACTGCTCCTTGTCCTGTCATGGAAAAGAGTCTGGCAACATCCTCTTGACATCCTTGGAGCTATATATATGCATTAATGAGATTTTCCCCTCAGTCTTCCCCAAACTAAACAGGCTCAGCTCCCATAGTCTCTCCTCATATGGAGTTGCTCCAGACCCTTCATCATCTTTGTGGCCTCCACTGGACCCTCTCCAGCAGTTTGTCTTTTTTCTTCTGAGGAGTGCAGAACTGGACACAACACTCCAGATAATGAGGAAGAAAATTTAGATGTACAAACAAGATCAGTTGTGCAAGTCCAAAGCATGAGATGTATCATCAACACTGAGATGAAAAGATAAATGGCTATTATACAGTTTATGTTATCAGCACACTGCAATGAAACAAAAAGTTTCAAAATTGAATTAAGGGCTTTTTATTATAAAAAGTTGTTATGGCAAAGAAAAACAGTTCTTGGAGGGAGATGTGGGTGAGATTGGTCCTGCAAAGCAAGTGCCAGAGCAGTTTCTTACCCAATGAACCAACCAGTGAGCATGAGTGAAGAACCAGGGTGTCATTTTTGGGGAACAGCAACAGGGGACAGCTTTCAGTGGGAGCTAGGGCTAGATGGGAGATCTCAGTCACTTTTCCCATGAGGAAGTGCCCAGAGCCCTGCCTGGAGCCTCCTCATGGCCTCTGCCAGGCATGGGGGCTGTTTTCTCTGCTGCATCCTCTGGCTCATCCCCAGGGAAAAGTTGTGGCCAGGATGTGGAGTCTGGCACAGCAAGAGGGTGACCAGGAGTGCATTGGGACAGTGCAATATCCTTGTAAAACAGCCAAGAGAGGGCTAATAAAAAATGAATCACTGCTATAATTCTATGGAGTCTCATTCCCAAAAGAACCTGAGCTTTAATGAGCCAAATTCTTGGTTAAAAAAAAAAAAAAAGTGTTTAGTTTCTAAAGTCATTTTTGAAATGGAAGATTTGGTTTCTATACTCCTTGGGTAAAATACACATTTCAGGGGGTCATGTTGAAGAGCTGTTGCAGCTGTCCTGTTGCACCATGCCCTCATACATGTTCTGGGGGTGGCTGGATCCTTTGCTAAGCTGATTCAACTTGCTAAACTGAAAGGGAGAAATTGCTAATTCTGCTGGTTATACTGTTTGAACTGCTCCTGCACAGGCACCATTGTAAAGGTTGAAAAGCTAAAGCAGGGCAAGAGAAAGGGCCTTGGACCAGAGTCTGAACAAAAAGGGAGGGGAATGGTTAGGACTGCTCCAGCTGTAAGGCATAATTGCACCCCCAGGCATCTTTAAAGTGTTTTCTCCAAAGAGTTTAAGTTCAGAAGATGTAGGCTATAAGTCACTTAAATGCTTTTGAAAGTCATTCTCAATATTTTTTCATGGAAATATTCCTCAGAACCATCTTCCTCCCAGGCTTTCATTTCTTTATAGTGCTTAAATTCATGCAAAAGTCATCTTAAATCATTATTAGGAAGATAAAATGAAAACACTCACTCTAATTCACTGAGAATATCCTACTTCAAAGCATTTATTTCCTTCTATTTGGGGAGCTAGGGAGAAATTAGGACTTCACATTTCTTACAGTTAATATCCGGTTTTACTTCAAGTTCTCATCACCGAGCATATATCACTTTGCAGTTCCTATTTGCATCTCTCGTTTTTGCCCTTTTTTCTGCCCTTAAATTTACACCTGCTTAGAAATCCCAGTAGTAAACTGATAGTTGCTGAATTTCTCTTTACTGTGCAAAGGTAAGTTGCAAGCCAGAGCCAGAGAATATTAGTACCTGCTCGAGAAGGAACAGAATGTTGTTTCTTAGCTGAGTTGAAATGGATTCAAACATATTAGGGTGTGACCAGATGGGCTGGATGTGTTAGAAGCACACACTTGCTATAGAAAATTAAATATTTTCTTTGAGGACCAGCAACTACTCATTTAACAAAATTATGCTATGAGGTTTTTGAATATGAACAGGAACAAAGAATGGTAAGTAATGGTTCAGTACCTCCCAGCAATAAGGGCCTCTTCATCACTCATAGTCTCACACAGCACATCCCCACGTGAATGCCCATGGCCAGAAGCCAACATTGGGAAACTGTGACTGTGTGCAACATTTGATTTCTTCCATGTCTTTGTGAGTGAGAATTTTTTATGGTAGTGCTTCTATGGGAGATAGATAAAGAGTCCTGCTTCCTGGCTGGAGAGCTCTTCTGGTGAATGGCAGAGAGGGACCACTCCCTGCTTCCCCGCTGTGCAGTGGGCTGGGATGAAGATGGCTCCCACTTCCATGCAAAGTGTTAGGAAAGCTTCCATTGCAGCCCAATAGAAAAGAGATACAAATGCAGAAATCTCAAAAAGTGCTGCTTGCTGGCACCTCCAGGAACAAACCCCTGATGTGGGGAGTATCTGGTTCTCTGAGGTCCTCATGTACAAGGAGGATTCATGTCCCCTTGGATGAGCATGAGCAACTAATAGGGGCATAAAATGCCAGTGAACTTAGGCTGGGTCTGATCTCCATAACGTAAATTAGAAGACACTTTTGCTGAGGTCAGTGGAGCTGCAGTGAGGAAAAACCACCAGTGTGAGGCCCATCACAGTCATTTGCACAGGGATAAGAAGAAGGTATGTGAAAGATTTTCCTGCAAATATACCCTTTAGTTCCATAGGGCAGATGCATCCATTTATACTTGCATAAGGAAGATAAAGTAAAACAGCACCAATCCCAAGTGGTAACCTGATATACTGTCTGCAGTAGAATCAGTGTCACAAAGAAAATTCAGGAAATCTGGCTGGAGCCATTTGTCAATGGTTTATTGCATTGTCGAGGCTAAGCTGGAGCGATAAAAACAGGGAACTCCAGAGTTCATAGTAATGTACATCGAGAACTGGGGGGCATTTGGACTTCCTGAGCTCCTTTGATGTCCTTTTGTTGCTCAACTTGCAAATTAGGCTGTGAGTTTGGGAGCCTGAGTTTAGATACCCATTTTTTAAAAGACTAATCTGAATTTTTAACAGAAAAAAGAAATTGCTTCCCCTGGAAAACAGCCATTCCAAAACAATTTCCCCTAAAATTCTCACTAGGGGTGATAAAAATCCACAGCAAGGGGGGGAGGGGGGGGGAAGAGAAAGATGAATTAATGTTCTTTTAAAGAACTTTTTACAACTGATTTCTAGTGAGGAATGGCCAGTGTTGTTAATATGCAATTGGATCATCTACAAGTCCTGGGATGACTGATGAATGGACAAATTCCAGGGCTGGAGACAAACACTGTCTTCTTCTCCCAGAACTCATTTCTTCTTCCACAGGCTGCCTGAACCTCCAAAAGAAATGATTCGACACTGTATTAGCGGTTTAATTAAAAGTTTTCGTGTGCAGGTTACCTTTCCATTAATTGCCACCAGCCTCTGAATGGCTGGTGGAAATTAATGGAAAATAAAAGCATAGCAACAGGGAAAGGCTTTGAGCTCATTTTATGAGGAGAGCTGCTAACCTGCTGCCCAGGTGTTTATAACACATGGACTGTGCCTAAAAGACATGAAAGACCGAAGCTGCGCCTACATGAAGCAGCTCTCTATAAGCTCACCTGCAAATATAATTTTTTTATCCTATGATGTTGCAACAAACTATAGAAACGAGAGTGCTGTTGCTGGCAGGAGCTGCTCTTTTTAAAAAGTCGTCTGTGTTTGCAGATCAGATGTCACTTCTGTTTTAGTGATAGGGCAAGAGGGAAGAGTTTTAAACTAAAAGAGGAGAAATTTAAATGAGTATTAGGAAGAAGTTCTTCCCTGGGAGGGTGGTGAGGCCCTTACACAGGCTGCCCACAAAGACTGCGACTGTCCAATCCCTAAAAGTGTCCCAAGCTAGGTTAGACAGGGCTTGGAGCAACCAGAACTAGTGGAAGGTGTCCTTGTCCATGACAGAGGATTTGGAATGAGTTGATCTTTATTTTCCTTTCCAACCCAAACTATTTTGTGATTCTGTGTTTCTTTTGGGGGAAAAGACAGAGGGTTTGACCAAATCATGTGCAAGGGGGCCTCATTTCTGTCTCGGACTGAAACCCAGTGCTCCACATGCCTGTATGACTACACACAGGCACAGCTCCAGCTTCCAGCTCTCAAACCAAGCTCTTGGCTGGAGGTAATCAAAGCCTAAGTTTATAGCTTGCTCTTCTCAGGCAATCCACCAAAACTGTGTGACTGTGCAATGCTCCATTCACCTTCCTCTAGGAAATAGAAAGCTCATTTTAGGCACTGTAACAAAAGCAAGTGAAATGCAAATTCAACTTCAAAGGAGTGTGGGAAACGGAGAGTTGGTTTACCAGCATCTTGAAGGTTGGCACTGCTCACAGTGGATGTAAGCAGCCTTAGCTCATGTGTCCTGTTGTGTCAGGGGAAACGTGCTGTGTAACTTCCTCCCAGGAAAGTACAAAACATGAGACCCATGAGGTCAGTCCTTGTCTCTGTGACCAGGTAAATAGTTTGCACTAAGTGGAACTGGTGCCACTGAT